GTTTATGAAGGCATTAATCTATCATACTCCTAGTGTGACCAACTGACCATCCTCTTTGCGCCCTCATGAATTAGGACAAGTGGTCAAATGGAGACTATTGATGAGGGTTAGGGGAACCAATGACTAGCAACCGTGAACCAAAGACGCAACGCTAATCTTGCTGGCCTTGGACGTAAACGCAAATGCAAGCTTGACACTGAACTTGAGATTGTTCAGTTCCTCTTTGCGCCAATAGAGTACAGTACTACAACTGTACAAGAAACGCTCGGTGTCCGCTCATAAACATTATCCCCACCAACTCCAAGGGGCACCCGGACGGCCGGAAACTGAGCAGAGATGGCGTCGTCGGATTCTCCGCCGCCGCCGGGGAAGCCCCCTCTGCCGTGGCGGGTGCGCCTGCTCGTGGGCGCAGCCTCATTCCTACACTCCGCGTCCCTCCGCGCCGACGGCACCGTCAACCGCTCCCTCCTCTCCCTATTCGAACGCACCGTCCCGCCTAGCCCCGCACCCGATGCCGCCGGCGTTTCGTCCACCGACCACGCCGTCTCCAGCCACCTCCGCGTCCGCCTGTTCGTTCCAGCGCCCGCCGCTAGCGGCAGCCAGCTGCCAGTGGTTGTATATTTCCACGGCGGCGGCTTCGTGTTCCACTCCGTGGCGACGGCCCAGTTCGACGCTCTGTGCCGCCGCCTCGCCGCGTCCATCCCAGCCGTCGTCGCCTCCGTGGACTACCGCCTCGCGCCCGAGCACTGCGCCCCGTCCGCTTACGACGACGGCGAGGCCGCCCTCCGCTGGGCACTCGCCGGCGCCGGGGGCGCCTTGCCGTCTCCCCCCACCGCCGTCTTTGTCGCCGGGGATAGCGCGGGCGGCAACGTCGCCCACCACGTCGCCGCACGCCTGCAGCGCAGCGTGGCCGGGCTGGTCCTACTGCAGCCGTTCTTCGGCGGCGAGGCGCAGACCGCGTCCGAGCGACGGCTCCGCCACGCGCCGTTCGGGGCGCCGGAGCGGCTGGCGTGGCTGTGGCGCGCGTTCCTGCCGCCGGGCGCCACGCGGGACCACGAGTGGGCCAACGTGCCGGCCGCGATCCAGCGCGACGGTGCCGCCCGGGGAAGTGGCGCGCGTTCCCGCCGACGCTGGTGTGCGTGGGCGGGTGGGACGTGCACCAGGACAGGCAGAGGGAGTACGCGCACGCGCTGCAAGCCGCCGGCGCCGAGGAGGTCCGCGTCGCGGAGTTCCCCGACGCCATCCACGCGTTCTACGTGTTCGAGGGCCTCGCGGACAGGCAGAGACTGCTGGCCGATGTGGCCGAGTTCGTGAACCGGCGAGCCGCCGAACACCTTGACGCGCCAGTGAACGACCAGTGTCCACTGTCCACTGGTTCGTACTTGGTTTGCAGTTCAGTCAGTGTGAGTGTGTGACTGATCTTTTTAATTTTTTTTGGTAAGTGTTGATTCTTGGAGCTGTGATGTGTGTGACGACGGAACTTGAGGGCACATGCGATGCACTGTACTCATGACGAACATGCCTGGTTCCCTGTGAACGAGTTGTTCGTTGGTTCTGAGAAGCAGGGAATTGGACGCAAGCGTCGACAGCGCAATGAACGGCATTCATCGCGCAAACAGGGTCGTGTTTGGCGGCGTTCCTGTCACGGAGAGGTTATCGCCCATGCGAACCAGACAGTAATGGTGCGACGACGCGGACAGATCCACTGTACGTTGGCCCCCGATTTGGCGAGTGCCAGCATGGGCCGAGCATCTTGAGCAGTTGAGCTACCAGTCTCTGCTGGAATATCTGAAGAGCATGACACACCGCCCGCCACATCCATATCCAGCCGGAGCATTCTCGACGCCCGCGCTTCTGGCCGCCGCGTGCTGGCCCCACGCCTTGTCGTGGCCATGCGCCAGTGCACCGCCCCAGTGCCAGAGCGCGCGCCCGTGTCCCGACAGGCCGGCACAGAGCACGCGTGTGCGCAGCGGCTGCACCGGCACGATGCTGTGTCCGTCCGTGGCTGTGCGATGAGCTGTTTTTCATTGTCAGGCATTCAGGATTTGAATCAACTTCAGATGCATCAAGAATTCAACATAGGATATATAGAAAAATCTCTGCTAAGTGGCTGTCATCAGTTCCTGGCCGGCGGTAGCAGCTTGCAGCATCAAGCACCGGAAAAGGAGGCCGACATTTATTCGAACAGAAGCCTGTTTAGCTGCCGACTGAACTGAAGGTAGCCGGGGCTTCCGGCCGAAGACATTTCTGCCTTTCCAACGATACGAGGGTCCAGACCAGCTTTACGCCTCCAAAAGAGGGAGACGCCACCGGCCTCCTTCCATGATGACCCCTTTCTCTGATGAAAAGCTCGCCGCGTTTTCCCCCGAACATTCATATGATTTCGTTCCGCTTTTCGCCTGTATCAGGCTGTGAGCTGATTAAGCTGATCCACGAGTTCTTGTTCCCGGAGGCAGCATGATAATGCACGAGCCTTTTGTGTGTGACCAGCCTGACTGCATGATTGATTGGTTATTTGATTTGATCAGACTTAGCTGATCCACCAGACAAACAAATCTAACCAACCAACACACGCATAGCCGTACGGGCGTACCCAAACACATACCAGAACATCACGCATTGATCACGACATTTCACACAATTTCTTCACAGCTTTAGAGCATCTACAACCGTATCTCTCAAACTCGCCTCATGCGTCTGGGCGGGCTGCCCGGTCACAATTTTTTGACTCAGGCGGCCCCCTCAAACGGCCCTCAAACGGCCGGGCTGACCGGCACCCCATATCCAACCTAAATATGGGGTGGATATGGGGCGTCCGGGCACGCCCACTAAACCCGGGCAAACGTCGGGTCGGGCCGGGTTTCGGACCGGGCTTGTAAAAGCCTGACATTCATTTTCCAAGCCCGAGCCCGGCCCGAAGCCCGAAATACTCCCTGTTTTCAAGCCCGAGCCCGGCCCGGAATCAAGCCCGAAAGCCCGGGCCGAACGTTGTTTTTTAGTGTACGCACGTGCAAGCCCGGCCGAAGCTCGAAAGCCCGGCCCGAAATACAAAAAAAATGAAGCCCGAGCCCGGCCCGAACTATCTTCCGGGCTGCAAAATAAGGCCTGAGCCCGGCCCGAACGTCAAGCCCGGCCCGTCCCGGCCCGGGTTTTTCGGGCCGGGCTGCCCATGCCCGGGTTTAACGCCCACCACGTCGTACCCGACAACCCGACCCCACCCCAATTTGCACCAAGCCCCCTCCCCCCCCCCTCGAGCTGCCGGATCCATTTGCTCCCTCCTCTTCTTCCTCCTCCGCATCGTTCGGCTCACAGCTCCGCCACGCGCGCCCGCTCCACAACTGTTCTCATGCTCTTCGCCGCAGCTTCGGAAGAGCGCTCCCAAATTTGCCTCAAGACTACTGCCAAATTTGCTCACGTCATGGTTGAGGTGTTTGGACCGGAGTATTTCAAAGAACCAAATGCGCAGGACACGAAGAAGTTGTTGGTTATTAGAGAGGCAAGGGGGTTTCCAAGGATGATCAGATCAACTGATTGTATGCATTGACAATGGAAAAACTGCCCCAAAGGTCTACGGGAATGTATCAAGGTCACAACAGAGAGGCCACCATCATACTAGAAGCGGTGGTATCACATGACTTATGGATTTGGCATGCTTTCTTTGGAATGCCGGTTCTCACAAAGACATCAACGTGCTTCAACGATCTCTGGTGTTCAGGAGGCTTTGCAATGGGGGAATCACCGCCGTGCAACTACACCGTTAACGGCCGAGACTACAACATGGGATACTATCTTGCCGATGGTATCTATCCTCAGTGCGCGACATTTGTGAAGATCATAGCCGAGCCGCGTGGCAATAAACAGAGCCACTTTGCAACAATGCAGGAAGCGGCTAGGAAGGACGCGAAAGGGCATTTGGTGTGCTTCAAGCTCGTTGGGGAATTGTGCGAAGCACTGCAATGATGTGAAAAATCGGAAACTTTGTGGCAGCTGATGATATGTTATGTTATTCTGCACAATATGATTGTCGAGGATGATGGTGATGATGTAGCCCAAACTCATGATTTCGAAGCACTCGGAGCACAAGTTGAAATCCTGGAAGATCAAGATGCGGCTCAGCTTATGAACTTTCTGCAGATGCATCAGAATCTTCGAAATCAATGGGTGCACACGCATCTACTCAATAATCTTGTGGAGTACATGTGGGTCCACAATAGCAGCCAAGGAGGCAATGCTTGAGTTTGACACTTCAAATAAATTTTATGTAAATGCTATGTATGATTGATACCAACAATTGCTATTTACATGCGATATTGTGTTGCATGATCGAATTGCATGTATGTGCGTCGATTTGAAAGTCCGAATTTAAAATACGTAGTCCGGATTTGAAATACGTAGATGCATGGAGGGAAATATGATGACCCGTCCGGATGTGCCCGCGAGATTGCCGGGACGGGTCCGCGGCCGGTTGAGGGGCCTTATTTGCGCGGGCGCATCCGGGGCCGTTTTGAGTGGCCGGCTTTGCCCAGTCCGGCCTTAGATGCTCTTAGCTGACGAGTGAGAACAGAGCCCCGCTGTGTTTTTGTTGTGCGATTGTTCATAGCATCACATGGATTTCATCAAGTGTACAAATGATCATCGCATGTTCGAGATCAGAATTAAGAGTAGTCAACTCGTTCCATCCAAATATGATACCACCACCACTACAAATTTTGTATGGAGTACTTAATTACTGGTATAATATATTCATTCATGACAATAACCAACTAAATAAACAAGCTAGGCACCAAGTACATAACAGCTCAACTCCTCTGTTCACATGCACAACTCAACGCCTAATTAGACATAAACAAACAAGAAGGCCACGACACGGAGAGAAGAAAGAAAAGGAAAATTTTAACCACAGGCCATGAGTGAGTGCGTGAGAGTGACCACACACGCACTGATGACTGATGACTGATGCCTGATTGCTCTGTCTCTGCCCATGGCGCGTCGCCTGCCGATCACATGACGCTGCACCCGGCGTTGGGGTCCTCGCCGCAGTACGGCTGCTGCTGCTGCTGGTAGTACGGCTGCCGGTTGCCGTGGTACCACCCCTGGTGGTCGTGCACCGGCACGCCGTAGTACCCGCCGGCCGGCACGGGCGGCCTGCAGCACTGGCAACCCCCGCCGCACCCGCCGCCGCAGCCTCCACCGTAGTACGACGGCTGGGCCGGCTGGCCGTACGGCGTCGGGTCGTAGCTGTAGGACATGGGCCCGGCCGGCGCCGGCCAGATGGACGGCACGGCCACCCCCTGCGCGGCCACGGGCGGCGCCATCATCGGCGGGCCCAGCGGCTCGCCGCGCGGCGGCTGGGGCCCGCCTCCGCCCTGCTGCTTGGCCTGCTTCATCTTCTCCAGGAGCGGGCCGAGGTCGGCCATGCTCATGCCGGGCGGCAGCGGCGGCATGGCCTTGCCGGGCTTGGCGTCCGTGGCCGGCGGCGCGTCGTCGAACTTGACCTTCTTCTCCGGCTTGGCGGCCGCGGCGTCCTTGGGCTTCTCCTTGTCCGCCTTCCCGCCGCCATCCTTGGGCTTCTCCGCCTTCCCGCCGCCGTCCTTGGGCTTCTCCGCCTTCCCGCCGTCCTTCTCGGCCTTGCCGCCGTCCTTGGGTGCCTTCTGCTTCTCGCCACCGCCGCCGTCCTTGTCCGCCTTCTGTTCCTTGCCATTGACATGCATCTCCTTGATCACCCGGCCGGCCTCGCAGCAGAGCTTCCTGCACAGCTTGTCGGGGTCGAACGGCCCGGACACCGTCACGGCGTTGTTCTTCTCGTCGAAGGAGATGGTCTTGATGTTCATCTTGTCTGCACAACACAATCCATTGCATGCACGGTCAGCCTACGGGGTTGACGACGCTGGCCCACCCACCGTACCTTCGCAGGCACGTGGGCCCACGTGTCAGCGGCGGCCACGAGGCCAGCGGCTTCTCTGCATGGGTGATTGACTGATCTGTGACGGACGGGAGTTAAGTTACCTTGGATCTTGCAGAGGACCTTCCTCATCTTCCTGTAGCATCGCGCGCATTCAAGGTCAACTTTGAGGACAACCGTGGAGATCTGCGACGAGATCGAGGGGGGTTAAATGAAGGAGAATGCAGCTGAGTATTAAAAGTAGATCCAGGTGTGAGTCTCACACTCACACTTGACAATTGTTAATGCAGAGTTTAACTGTACTACTCTCTCCGTCTAGGTGAGTAAGTCATCTTAGGTTGTGCACCGTGACGAAGAAGGAGGAGAAAACGAGAGAAATTAATGTTCATTTGCTAATTAATAGCATTGCATGCAATGAACTAACCACTGCATGTCGTGTTTGGTAGTCTCAAGTCATTAAAAATATGCACACTCCACATCTTTTATTGGTTGATATGTCAAGAAACAAGAAACGAGATAGACTTTAATGCACCACGCCTAAATATTTTGGAATTATTTAGTTTTCATAAGATGACTTACACACCTAGACGAAGGGAGTGACATCAGATACAGGAAATAGGGACTGGAGTTTGAGGTCAGAGCCCGAGAGATATTTGCTTGCTGCGCACTTCATTTCTCATGGCGTCTCTGGTTTGAGTACTCGGCACTCCAACGACTTGTGGGGGTTCAGACGAAAACGTGGCGTTGTCCATGGAGCTGCTGTCAATCTCTGACAGAGATGACAGTTGGTTTGGACAAGAGGAGCCGAGATCAGCTTCGTTGCCAAGTGAACTGGTGAAGAGTGGCTAAAGGAGAAGCGGAACACAGATCAAATGGCATGAACTAGGGAAGAGGGCCTAAGAATTTCAGAGAAACGAACGCTCGGGCTGGAAGAACTTCAGAGCGCGGATCGCGCGCGCACCCACCCCACCCACGCGGTAAATCGAGAAGGAGACCGGGGAGAAGCAGGCCAGGCCAGGCGTTGTTGTTACCTTGTCCGCCATGGCAATGGCGCCGCCTGAGGCGTGGTCGTCACCTTCAGAGGAGCCTGTGCTGTGTGATGTGTGCTCTCTGTGGAGGAGAGAGAGAGGGGGGAGGGGGAGGACGAAGAAGAAGAAATATGGATGAGAAGACCGGTGGTGGGTGCGGCGTTTTAAGCCGGGTGTCCTACGCGCACGCACAGGCGCAGGCGCGGGCACCAACCCTGGCGGCACACCGACGGGCGGGCCCTCCGGTCCTCTTTGACCTGACCCGTATTAGCTGTGCGGCATGTGCGAGTACATACACGCACATTTCGTCAGTCCAGTCGGTGGGCTGTGGCTCTCCCGCCTGCGTCGGGCACGCACCGGCACCACCTGCCGCGCCAAATCAAATCACCCAGCCCAATTCTAGCACCAGAGAAATGATAAATGGCGAGCACCTCCGTCTCTGAGGAAAAAGAATTGGGAAATGGTGAGCACCGTTCTACACGAATACACAACACAAAGGCATTCATAGTGCTACTGATACTGACTACTACACTCCACTTGCTAGTGTCACTAGAGTAGGTTGAGTGAGTGACGTTCAGTGGTGGCAAGTGAGCTGCTAGTGATGTGGGCTGCGTTTTGTTGTCTAGCCAGCCCTGGGGAGCGGGGCCGTCTGCTCCATGCGGCCAGCCAGGCATGTCAGCACCACAGCCAAGCCAGGCGGCCGCCGATTTCGACACCTCACCGGCACGCGTGACACGATAACGCTCCTGCTGCCACGGCGACTGTGCACCGGGGGCAAGTGCCGCCCCCGTGCATCCGGCGGGTGCAAGTGCGCGAAAAATGCCGATAGATAAATGGAGGTGGCTGGAGCACCATGTCAGCAGCAAAGAAAACGAGGAGATTTTGTGCGCGACATTTCACCGGACTCCGCCTGCGCGAGAGGCCTGGGCGCTCTGGTGCTGCAGCGCAGGGAGCACGCCTCTTGGCTTGCTCAATTGGCTCTGGGAAATCTCTGCGTAGGGTTAAGTTTCTGGTGATTATTTTACTGCTAGCTAATGGGCAGTAGATAGAGGCGAACGTGATGGATTAGGCCACCAACCAGGAGATTTAATTAGTATACTGGTTCGTTGGTAGTGCCTTTTGATTCATCATACGCACGGCGATCTTCAGCGGGCGAAATGGCCTTTTCCTCCAAAGTGCTGCACAACTCATGTGCCATTCATCGTGAGGTCGCCAGAAAACAACCATGGGAACCTTCCTGTGTCATTGCCACTTCCTTTTAGGAGCAAGATGCCACCGGAGACGGCCGCAGCCCGGAATGGGTGTAGTTTCCGGCGCTCCGTGGATGCCCCCCTCACATGGAGAAAAATCCAAACAATCATTTGCGGATCGTTAAATATGAGGCGGAAAACTACTATGTGGTAGTACGACCGATGCTGTCAGAATCCGGTGCCGGCTAACGTGCAGTCTGCAAGCGGGGCAAGATGCACAGCCGTTCGATTCGCGACCGGCGAGGCAGCATGTGTGACAGTGGCAGCCAGGCCACGGCTAACCAAGGGCCAACCACCGAGCGAGCTTGTTCTCATGGCGTTTGCGCCTCCGTGCTACCTACCGGACATGTGCCTCACGGGCATTTTTCATTTCCCTTGCCCGTGATGGCTTTGTGTCGGTGCTTCGGCCTGTCGCGTTACAGGTGTGAACGAACGTTTGACAGCGCGTTCCCAAACGAATACTTCCTACGTTCCTAAATACTTTAAAATATGTCTATATACATCCGTATGTACTCTCTTTGTTTCTAAATATTTGTCTTTCTATAGATTTTAACAAGTGACTACATACGCGAACCAACCTTTGGTTGGGATGGTTAGGTTGACAGTGGTATCTTCAGTCCACCAGGGTTCAAGTTCTGGCATCTCAAGATGATATGCCGGCTCAGTTCATGAGAGTCGTTGTATCAATAGATGATACCCTGTGTGTTGCCGCGATAGCTTTGTTAAAAAATGTGTAAATAGTTGCTAAAAATAACTAAATCCAATGAAAACAAAATATAAGCATGAATATCAATAAAGAAAGTCTTTAAAAATATAATAAAAGCTTTTGAATTACTGTTAGAAATATCATTTCGAACAAAAATATGAAGGATATCAATAGATGATACTCTACGTGTTGCTGCGATAGCTTTGTTAAAAAATGTGTAAATAGTTGCTAAATAATAACTAAATCCAATGAAAACAAAATATAAGCCTGAATATCAATAAAGAAAGTCTCTAAAAATATAATAAAAGCTTTTGAATTACTGCTAGAAATATCATTTCGAACAAAAATATGAAGGATGGCTAACATGCATGTATGATGTGGCAGCATTACATGCATAGACTAATGTGTAAAACTAATTATGTAATTAGGGGCGAAATCTCCCCTTGCCCAACCATCGTGCGGTTGCTCCCACAACAGACACCTCCGTTCGATTCCCTGGAACCAACGTCCCCTCGCGATGGATCGTCGTGTCTCTCTGAGACATATAAGAGGGGCCTGTAACCATCGACAGAAGACAGAGATTTCATTTTCGATCTCAAACATGTTATCACGCACGTAGAACAACCAGCGAAGAGCAAAAGAGAAAGAAAGGGAGGGAAAGAGCACTCGTTGCCATTTTCTACAGGGACAATCTGATGGAAGAGGAATTATGCCTTGTGGACAGTGGTATCACAAACTCCATACTGAGGGAGATGAAATATTTCCAAACTCTGAAAAAGATGAATGGAGATATTCTAACTACCGCTGGACGCGATACAGTGATTATTGGTACTGAACGTGCCATATTCACCCTCCCAAGTGATACATAAGTGACAATTGAGGATGCTTTATTGTATCCCGATTCTTCATGTACCCTGATCAGTTATCAAGATATCCGTAAAAATATTTTCACATTGAAACCCATCAAGACAACAAAGAGGAGTATTTACACTTTACCAAAGATCATGAATATGGCAAAAAGGTACATGAGAAAATTCCTTCTCTATCGTCTGGTTTGGACTATACGTACATCAAACCCGTAGAACATGTTACATACAAAGTAATTTTTCAGAATGTTAATGCATTCCAAACCTGGCATGATCGCCTAGGCCATCCCAGAATCGGAATGATGAGAAAAATCACTAGCAATTCCATTGGTCATAATTTGCTTGAGTCAAAATTTCCTCAATCTTCAGACTTTGAGGCCCTCACACCTCAAAGTACAAGCTGAACCACTTCAGTTCCTTGAACATATTCAAGGAGACATTTGTGGTCCCATTCAACCATTATTTGGACTTTTCAGGTCTTTCATGGTTCTGATTGACGCATCTACACGATGGTCACATGTGTGTCTTCTATCCACATGGAACCATGCATTTGCCAAGATAACGAGGCAAGTCATTAATTTGCAAGCCCATTATCCTGAAAGTCGAATTAAATCAATTCGAATGGACAATGTTGCAGAATTCTCCTCACGTGCTTTCAATAATTATTGCATGGATTTGGGGAGAAGTTCAACACTCTATTCCATATGTCCATACACAAAATGGTTTGGCCAAATCATTGATTAAGAGGATCAAACTCATTGCAAGACCTTTGTTGATGAATTACAAATTGCCAACCTCTTGTTGGGTGATGTCTACTACACAACCTTCTTCTTGTAGACGTTGTTGGGCCTGCAAGTGCACAGGTTTGTACGACAGTAGCAAATTTCCCTCAAGTGGATGACCTAAGGTTTATCAATCCGTGGGAGGCGTAGGATGAAGATGGTCTCTCTCAAACAACCCTGTAACCAAATAACAAAGAGTCTCTTGTGCGCCAACACACCCAATACAATGGTAAATTGTATAGGTGCACTAGTTCGGCGAAGAGATGAAGATACAAGTGCAATATAGATAGTAGATATAGGTTTTTATAATCTGAAAAAATAAAAACAGCAAGGTAACAAGTGGTAAAAGTGAGCGTAAACGGTATTGCAATGATAGCAAACAAGGCCTAGGGTTCATACTTTCACTAGTGCAAGTTCTCTCAATAATAATAACTTAGATATATCATATAACAAGCCCTCAACATGCAACAAAGAGTCACTCTGAAGCCACTAATAGCGGAGAACAAACGTAGAAATTATGGTAGGGTACGAAGCCACCTCAAAGTTATTCTTTCGGATCAATCTATAAAAGAGTTCGTACTACAATAACACCTTAAGACACAAATCAACCAAAACCCTAATGTCACCTAGATACTCCATTGTCACCTCAAGTATCCGTGGGCATGATTATACGATATGCATCACACAATCTCAGATTCATCCAACCAACACAAAGTACTTCAAAGAGTGCCCCAAAGTTTCTACCGGAGAGTCAAGAACGTGTGCCAACCCCTATGCATAGGTTCCCAATGTCACGAAACCCGCAAGTTGATCACCAAAACATACATCAAGTGGCACATGATATCCCATTGTCACCACAGATAATCACGGCAATACATACATCAAGTGTTCTCATAAAAGACTCAGTCCGATAAGATAACTTCAAAGGGGAACTCAATTCACCACAAGAGAGTAGAGGGGGAGAAACATCATAAGATCCAACTACATAGCAAAGCTCGGGATACATCAAGATCGTGCCATAGAAGAATACGAGAGAGAACACGAGAGAGAGAGAGAGAGAGAGAGAGAGATCAAACACATAGCTACTGGTACATACCCTCAGCCCCGAGGGTGAACTACTCCCTCCTCATCATGGATAGCGCCGGGATGATGAAGATGGCCACTAGTGATGGGATCCCCCTCCGGCAGGGTGCCGGAACAGGGTCCCGATTGGTTTTTTGTGGCTACAGAGCCTTGCGGCGGCGGAACTCCCGATCTATCTTCTGTTCTGGAAGTTTTAGGGTACGTAGGTATATATGGGTGCAAGGGGTCCGTCGATGGAGCTACGGGGACCCCACGAGGTAGGGGGCGCGCCCCCACCCTCGTGGGCAGCCCATATCTCCCCTGACGTGCACTCCAAGTTCCCTGGGTT